TGAATCGATTTTGAATCCAGTTGGGATTGCTGCAGGAAAATCTTTTGGAGAACAGCATTATGGACAAATAAACCATCACTTCTTAAAATAACGTGGTTTAACTACATTTTCGCAACTTGATTGAGTTGTCAAGGCGATCTACAGAAACTCACTTTTTCTGAAGTTCCCACGTCACGATATTTTCCAGCGCCAGCCCTTGGAATTGCTACATTCCCAAACATATCGCCATCGTAGTTGACATATTCAGTGAGTTTTGGTATACTTAACACTAAGCTACTACTTAAAGAGACAAGTGAACAGATTCATGCCGAACGATTGTGACAACTACTTTTTCTATTATGGAATATCCGCCAATTGGCTATTCACGTATTTCATTACCTCTATCATGACTTGTTTACCTTCGGCAATTATAGAGGTGGGCTATTTTTGGTGGGTTTAAGGGGTGTTATCAAGCCTGCTGGTTTATGTGTTAACAATTTGAGTTGCCGGAATTGTTAACTTGATTTGGCTCTTTTAATCTTTAAAATAGTTATTTTAATTCCTACCGGAATTTCCTCCTGTCCTTAAAAAGTTGTCGCTTAGTGCTAAGGCTTGCAAAGCTCACTGACGAAGTCAGTTAGGATGCCGGGGAAATATATTTAAATGTACTAAGTGCACTGGCTAACGCTGGAAATTATAAAATCTACAATGGTGAAAACTTCAGGAAATGTGTGTCGATCTAGTTCGCTTCGATAGCACGAATAAGTAGGGCTAAATATAAATAAATATATATATATATAATTATTATTTTCCAAAATGTATTCTCGCAACTGGTTGACTGCAGATAGGACCTCGCCTTTGTCTCATCAGTAATCTCTTTGGGACACGAACTTGTAAACTGCTGTATATAGTCTAGACACGTAAACAACTACTTCTACTGCAGAACTGATGAGAACAAACTGAGGTCGAAAATGCCATCTACCCTGGATGAAAATAGCTTTTTGGAAGGCAAGGCTATGTGAATCGTATATATGAAGACCAAGACGATGGTCGCAGTCTCCTTGAGCTTGACAGTGCTGGTTCGACCTTGTTTTTGCAACTTGATCGGAGTGTCAGGGAGACCTTGTGGAACGTACATTGTCCCGTATCCTCTGCCATAGTAGTCGTGATTTCTAGCATTGAACAATTGACTTGGTACATTTTCAAACGCTTCGCCGACATCGTAGTCGGCATCGTCAGAGTGAGGCGTCATGGTAGCAACAGAATTACAACTTATCAAAGTGACAAGTCAAGACCATCCCCGGAGTTTGATCAAAAGAAATTTACGACTAACTGATTTTGAGTTCCGGAAAGAGGAACTGGGAAAATGAACTCAGATGTAGCCTGGAAACGGATACCCAGAAGAAGCAATACAACGCAACATATGGATGGTGATGAACAGATGGAAGGACCGAGATAATGAACGAAAAGCAAGAGAAGCATGGGAAAAACTATGGATATTTCTACCTTCCTGTGAATTGGCTAGGAAGCTTGGGTCAATATTAGGGAAATGGAACATTCGTACAATATTGAAGGAAAGGACAACCCTCTTCACCACCTTGCCTACGCAACATGGAGAAGTCAGCAAAATGGAGTGCTCTGGAGTTTACAGCATAATCTGCAAGAACTGTGATCAAAAATACACCGGATAGACAATATGGAGAATCAGCACCAGGAGCGAAGAACAGCAGCGACTATGCAGAAAAATGAATACGGAAATACCGGAGCTAGCTGAACGCATCGCCCATATCAGTCACAAACTTTACTGGAGTATAAAGGAAAGACTGGCTTTTTATGGGGAAAAAAACCAGGAAGCGGAAGATCAGGGAGGCTGTGGGCATCCTCTTTCGAAGAAAGCTGATGAACAGGAGATTGAAAGAGGCAGGAGTTAGCGATGATTTCGCCTACTGCCTGAGCAGACTTGGAGATTCAAAGAATGTATCAAAAAGAAGACGCTTGGAGCCATGACAACTGTTCAATAACAGGAAGAGACATCATCAAGAGGCGGCTCATGAGGAACAAAGGGAAGTCAAGAAAAGGCGAATGCAGTTAGAGGAGTCAGACGTGGAGTTGGCCGAAAAAAATTTACCCAGGGGGTTCACCTGTAATATGTAGGATATGAAAATAAAGACTAAAAGTATCTGTGGGCTAAATAGAGGCCACCAGTGTGTATGCGTGAGTTTCGTGTGCATTTTTCGTATCTGTCAGAAGGGGAGATGATTGATGACAGGTTTGATCACGGGGTATACCAACCAACTCAGACACAGGAACATCATCCCAGTACCTTGGGATTAGATGGGAATATGGACTTGAGAGGCGAGAAGAGTGTGTTTTTCGCGATTCAAGGGAAAAAGGGAAGCAACGCATTTCCAGACCAGCGGTTAAGACTTAAGCCGGACACAGGGTCCCAAAGAATGAGACACAATGTGGGTGGGGATGAAGGAGAGGATCATTAAAACATGGGTTTGAAGCCTAGGGAGGGGAAGACTCCGAGGCACTGGCATGTGCATGGGCATGGACATCAACTGCTCTACATCTTCGAATTTGGCGTAATCAAAGACGGGGATGGAAAGCTCTTAGGAAGCCGTATTTCAGACAGCCAAACTGTGATTTTGATGCTTAGCAGCGGCCAATTGACAAGTGGGTTGGGAAAAACAGGGGGGGCAGAATGTAGGTCATGAGACCTGCAAACTGCAACTGGTACCCTCTTTGGCGATATTTGAGGGAGTGAGAACACAGAATTGTGTAAATAATGGATGGGCCCTAAAGTGGGGTTGAGAGAAAGGGATGCTGCACTAGAAGGAGGAACAAAAAATAGGGGCGAGAAGTGATGCCACAACAGTTGAACAAAAAGTATTCAAGTGGATTGCCCTCACTTGTCACTTTGATAAGTTATAATTCTCTGCTTATGATAGCGCCTCTGACTGACGATGCCGGCGAAACGTTTGGTAATGTACCCAGCCAATAGCTAAATGCTATAAATCACGAATATTATGACAGAAGACACGAAACTGGATACGTTCCACAATGCCATGTGAAATTAAGTGGATACATAAAGCCTAATAATAGCATTGTAGGAAAATTCAGATACCAATCCTTCCCCCCTCTAAACGAAAAAAGGTGAATAGATCTCATATATATGATCTACCACTACTTATTAACCACTACTTATAAACAAAAGTCTGAACTATGAGATGTATTCACTTAATTTCGGTTAAGGTGATGAAGGACTGATAGTCGAATTTTCCCACAATGATATGAATAGACCTGATCTTTCCATTGGATTTCATTAAGCCTTCCTTTCCCAAAAGGTGTTCTCATCCAGAGTGGATTGCCGTGTCGACATCGCCTAGTTCTTATAGCATCACCAGCGGGACTCGAGTCATGACAGTGCAGCATATAATCTGGACACGTTAATCCCTACGCCACATTGCTACACGTTCCCTTGGGCCACATGGCTGATGCTAATTTCAAGGAAGGCCGGGAATTTTCCTACATCAAACTCTTTAGTGGGATTGTCAATGAAGTAAAATTATATTTGCTATAGCAATCGACCACATTGCTTATTTTTTAGTTTATAAGCAGAGTTTCGAGACATCACATATAACTGATTTCCTGGTAATCTCAAAATGAACGAATGCTTATGAACAAAAAATCTGAAAACCTTTTAAAAGTCAGACGGCTGCAGAACAGTCGTCAATCTCAGCTGTAATCGCACTAGAAATCTTCTCATCAACCGTCTTCCTACATTGTGGAAGCCTCCACAATAATGATATCTCAAGAGAATCATCGAAACTCAGCTAATCTTCCTATGCATAGTTTCCAGTTGAATCAAAGCGGATAGTCTCGAAAATGAAAGAAGAATAATAGGCCGAGTTCTAGCTGTATGCGGATAACAGAAGGCGTTAGGGTCAAAGGTGATTATGTTCACATTGTTGATTATGACGAGTATAATGAAATTAAACTGCAGATGACTTGTAGCGCAGAATTGTTGCTTGAGCGAAACGGTAGCATAGAGGCTCGCACAATTCCGCATCAACTGCCAGCCGGCTGTACTTAAAGCATAAACTTAACATAGACACCGAGAGAAAGTAGAGTCCTTGCAAGCTGAGGCTGGTATTATTTACATCTGCTGGATCCTTTCAGATCAACCGACAGAAGACCCGAGCGCACTTTGGATAGTCAGCAAATGAACCAAAAAATATGATAAAAGTAAGAATCAACGCCAATCCACTAGCATTCACAGAACAGCAGCTGGAAAAGAAATCAAGAGAAAACAGAAAGCAACAAAAGAAGTGGGCGGGCATAGGTTACGCCACGCTAAATACAATAAAATAAATTGTAATACAGACCTTTCAAGGCAACGTGGCATTCCATCACTACAAGCCCACACAATAAAACAAGGAAATGACAAATCGCCGCATGAGGTCGGATGCATCAGGCAGAGGTCCCGGCTAGGACACAGGCAGCATACCGTTCTTGAGCAGAGACTATGTGTGTATGGGGCAAAGTGATAGCCAATTGAAAGTTCATCAAGAGAAGATGGATAAGAGGCACTGATGGATTGGAAGGAAGAGTTAAACAATATAAATAAAATAATAGGCAAAATAGCTGCAGCCAATAGTTTTCTCACTGGTAATATTGCCTAAAGTAGACATACAGACATGTTGTATGCATGGGAGCATATGTTGCAATATGCTTTATTCGCGGAATAGAAGCGTTAATTCAGTCTGATACAAAGTCGTACTTGACATAACGGAAACACGAATATATGCTTAAAATATGGACGAATCGAAACACATTCGCCCGATTTAAACGTCTGGTGAGGAGATATGACTGAACAAATCACCGACCATATCATCATGGGGAAATGCTACTGAATGTAGGCATGTGATAGCAAAAACTGTGTGTATCCTGGGCCTTCTTCGAGTGGTAGAATCGACTCGGCTGCCGGAAAACCAGACAGTGAATAGGTAGTCTAGCGTAGTCTCCGACACAGTTGAGTGCGCCTGGCCTAAAAAGGGAACTGGGAGCACTGCAAAACCAGCGACTTGATGCATCTAAAGGTACGGCTTGCGGACGGGGGTACAATTGGCGCCGGGATCCAAACGAGTTGATATGAGTGTGAAGGTTTGTGTAGCTAATGGATGCTTATAGAATAGCCGTACTAGGCAGAGTCAACTAAAACACACATTCGTGCAAGGCGAAAGGAAAGGATAGTGGCATGTACGGTCATTGGCCTTGGACGCCCAACAAGGATGGCAGCAAGTTGGAGGATGGGGTGGAAATCAGTTTTGCACCATTTGCTGCCTAGGCTGGTGGGAAACACACGAGGATAAACTAGAACAATACAGTGTCTACAAGGAAAGCAGGTAAGCCAAGATCAAATAAAGATGGCGATAGGTGGAAAATAGGAAAATTGGTAAATCAAGAGGGGGAAAATATAAGCTGATTAATGCGATATTAGCTCCAAGCGAAGTGTAGAGACTTGCGAAAAATTCAATTATCTATTGCAACACCGATTACAATGATTGCACCAAAATTGAGGCTAAGTAGTGACCTGCACAAGCTTATTCACATCATATATTCGCGCACATAAGCCTATATACAAACATGCAGACATGCAGATGTGGTTTTGACGGTAGCTTGGAGAGAGACAGATAAACAGACGGACTGACATAAAGAGCGGACAAGCGGGCAGAAGGAGAGATACAGAGATACGTGGTATCCAGCCTTGATAGAAAGAGATCAACAGTGGGCTCATGCACGCAGACAGCCGGCATGTGGAGGGAGATAAGTGTTGAAGTGTCTGAAACTAGCCGGCCGCGGCCAAGGCCCGGATGACTCGGACGACGAAGTAGCTGGCCAAAATGATGGCCGGACGGCTGGTGATGCATGCACAGGCGTTGTCATGTGAGGAGATTTGTGCTGATTTAGAGGAGGCTGGATCATGCATTGGGCTGCCCTTTATTCCTAACGAGCCGGTGGCCAGATTGCCTGGACATGGGAAACACAATGCAATGTAAAAAGGCAGTCAATAGAAAGAGCAAAACTGGCAACATCGTATATGATCTTCTTTTTTGCTTTTTGAAGACAGGCCTTATTCATATTTCCTTGGTACATAACAAATTGAGGTAGTAGCGGTCCGAATCCAGCTCTTTCAGAGTACTTTCTGACATAAATAAAAACCTAGTCACGCTCCTAATCAACGGATGTGCCAGTAACAGTAGATATGAATTTCATTATGTAGGACAGTGCATCATTAAGAGCTCCATAGTCTGAATACGTCGTTCATTTCGACACAGTATCTCGTTTTGGGTGAGAGTAGCCTGAACTTTCGTACTTTATGTCAATTGAAGGACATCGTCGGAGCTAGAAATGATTCTTGCCAGAGTTTCAAGTTAAAGTCAACTAACGAAGACTATCCAGCTTTATCCTACAAAATATATATACTGATATTTAAAAACGAAAATATTTATATATGGATATAGATAGTGATCTCTGGTATTAATCAAAGTATTTACACTTGAGCGAGTGTATGCGTGTGTATATTGACATCTGACGTAAGACTCTTCTAAAGATAGTATCTTTTAGTTGCCCAGCTAAGCCTGCTCTAGAGTTGATCTGATCTCAACTCTGTCAAATAAGCTTCTCGCTTGATACCCCCAACGAATCTTCCAGAGATTAATATTTGTATGATCAATGCAATTAGGGCATCGCCATCATAATTGGCGGATGCCTGCTCACCTAATTGTTGAGCTTACTTCCATTTCGAGTGAAGTTGTTTGGTGAAGAGATTAGAAGGTCGGTTCCACCAGAAGACGACGGCGGATTCCTCTTGACCAGCTGTCGATTGG